CTGCCTGTATACCTAGATTTTTTTCCAATGTCCAATAAATTTATTTACAATATATTACAATATTGTGTATATATTAATACTATCTCAAGTGATGAGCCAGATCAACACCTCCAAGTTTTTCATCTTGAAATATTCACTCAAGCATTTGCTCATACATCTCAAGATCACTACATCCTCATGCATTGTTGTCTTCTACAAGTCATTTTACACTCTCTTTTACTAAATATAAAAGTCTACAGTATTCAATCATTCACAGGTCTCGTCTGCACAAATAATGCTATTGAATACAGTGAAAATATATTCTATTCTTCCAGCTGTGTGCACCTGGCTGCCTGAGTAACTGTTATGATATTTTATTCACTGTTGGCAAAAAGGAATTATTTTTCCACACAAGGTGAAATTGATGCACTCATTATAAAGATGCGTAAACTGCAGCAGGCATGATGTCAAAAATTGCTGAAGAGGAAGTATCTTTAGGGGATTTTCTATATATTAATGTAATCAATACCGGTACTATTAATTTTATAACAACAGATTGAGTGCATACAATAATTGGTAAAAAAATCTATCCAAAACCAGATTAATTCATTGAGTGCTAGCGCTCTCCCCTTGATGAGTAAAATTTCTGGCATTGGACAATGCCATAGTTTGTCATTGTTGTCACCCCATGTCCCTGCAATCCCATTAAGCACCTAGGCTTATATCTTCACCTTTTTTGCAAATTCAATTTGAATATTTTATTTGAAAAACAGTTAGCTTGGACTTTGTGTCTTGGCTGCCATGTTTGTGGTTGATGCACCTCAGACCACAATGAGTAAGCGTATTTGAAAACACTTCAGCCAAAATGTTACAATTGTAATCTGGATCAGATTATTTGAAAGCCAAATCAAAATATTGAATATTCCAGTAACAACATGCATAACAAGCCGATGTCAGTGATGTTATTAGCATCTGGAAACAATAATTGTACAAACCTAATTTTTTTGCAGACTGAAATTTCTTCATAATGATGTACACAAACCTGCTAAACTATTGGTGCAATTACTGAATATTAGAAAGATGAAACCACCCCATTGGTAAAAACCCTGAACAGACACTTAAGCCCTGGTGCATTAAGTTGCAACTCTCACTCATGTTTGATGCCAATGAACTGGTTCAAATTTTATCGTGCAGAAGGGTGTCAATCCTGGGGTGGGCATGTCCCCTTCACTTCTTGGACATTCATAAAATAATCTATAATAAATTAATCCATCGGTCAACTTTGTCCCCCCCCCCCCTTTTTGGAATGGATAAATGGATTGTCGCTTTTGATCACACAGTAATATCCAGTGAACTCTCATCAACTCTCATGCAACTCTTGTTCTTGTTTGACCAGGGCATAGAGTTGAGACAACTCTCATGCAAACTCTTGCTTCTCAACTCTCATCAATTCCCATTCTTATTTGACCAGGAGTTTTAAGGGACGGTAATTATAAACATACAATATTTTTGGCAAAGTATCAAAAATCAGATGAAAAAAAACATTCTTTTGCAACAAACGCTTTTATTTTAGTTGTCACACAATTTTAGAGCACAAGTTTTTCAAGGTATACTCACAATGCAGACAGGTGAGAGTTGGTCACTACTGTACCTGTATCTCTAAGAAAACAGTTTAGATTGATAAAACTGATAAAGTTATCAAGTGTAAATTAAGTTAGTTTACTGGTTAGTTTAAAGTAACATGAATATAAATAGTAAGAAAACAAAGAACACAAAAATTGCACCCTTTTGAAAATAGATTTTGCCAACAACATGTAGGCAGGTGGCAAGGATATGTTGACATTGACTAAATATGGACTGATAATTTGCCCATAATGAGAAAAGCATTCGCCTTCTTTTAAATTCTGTGGTAGTTACGGTTTTATAAAGTGCACTGGAACTGCTTTATTTCATAAAGTGAGGGTTTGAACCAAAACAAAATATAAAACTAGGCAACTGATGCAATTACTTGTTTTATACTGCAATGTGTATATAGCTGCACTAGCTGTCAGACAAATTAACTGCAACGCAGATGCGTGCATTTCGAACAAAGAAATTTTTTCTTATTAATATCTAAAAGCAAATATTAAATATATGTCTGCGAACCGTCTGATATTTTCCTTGATCGAATATTTTGAGTGCTGAAAATATCTATAAAAAAAAGCAAAAACCAAACAAACCGCGAAGCGTGCTTTTACACAAGTCTGTTGGGACGCAGTCTGGATTCTGAAAGAATCAAAGAGCTTCTACATCCCACTTTAAACTCTACATATGACATATATGACAAACTTCAACTTCTAAATGTAAATACACCATATTGTCCGAAAATCAAATGTATAAATGAATACGAATTACGAAATGTCTGAGTCACTTACCCACTGACGCCGCCGAATTGAGAAATTTTTCCAAAGCAATAACTTGATTTGCCCAAATAATTTCAAAGCCATGATGGCTATGTGCTATCAGAGACAGATTATGAAATCCCCAGACAAATTCAGAGAAATAAAATCAAGAAGACATGGCCAAGATTTCTGTTCACGTAGTTTATTGATTGGTCCGGTTTGTCGACAGCGAGTTGAATGTTGGATAATCAAATCCTGTCGGGTTTACAACAAGAATAGTTCTGTCAATGTTAAAGAATGTTAAAGATAGTTTTAAGAGTTCTTATGTCTCATATTTCAAACCATTTTACTCCCTTTCATTCGATCCACAACGCAACAGTGACAAAGTTCTATATTCTTGAAGAGTTGAAGTACGTAACTTTTGTTGTTGTGAAATTATGCAAATATGATGAACTAGTTTTGAGTAGTAACCCTCCTGATTAAGTATCGAATATTGTTTAATTACGGGGGGACATAATTTTAAAGTTGGTACGTTCACCGGAAGCACCTGTGTTTGATAACCGGATCTATGACCGGATGTGCGCAAGGCAAGAGTGAGGGGAAGATTAAGGGGGGGCGGGAAGGCGAAGCCAACAGCTCGAGTGATATTTGGACCAGACATGGTGCAATGGGCGAAGCTAAGCTCCGTAACTCATTTCCGTTGAAAACAGGAATTTTTCATTGGTTTGCCCAATATTATAAGGATTTTTTAAGTGCTCTATTTTAAGTTTTAAATTAGATTTTGGTTTAATAAAATTAAAGTATTTCAAGAAAGAATTATTATTTTATATGCACTTCATGACTGCCTTTGTCCTTTGACTTTGTCTTTGACATTGTCATTGTCCTTTGATGTTTTCAAAACCGCAGGAAATCCTGAAATAACTTGTACTGATCCTGAAATGACTTCTGGTCCCTTAATCGTGATTGTGATTGTCACAAGCCGTTAAATTTTAATTTTATATAAAAATAAATTAATCTCGCATGCATGTGAAACTTTATCCAGTTTAGGAAATATTCTGAACTATCATACAAGACTAGTCTATGTTTTACAAGGAAGGGTACCTTGCGATGGTCTTAACGTCCAGTTCGTGCCTTGTCCTTTTGAATACAAAACTTTATTTAGCGTACATGTTTATATGGACACGTATATTTGTTGTTATAATTGTATATCAGTATATATATGTGTTAATTTGTACTCAAGAAAGTCTTTCACAAAAAAAAAGAAATAGCAATTATATATGAGACCCATACAAATTTCAAAATTTTTGGGCAGTATATGGGGAAGTGATTTTTCACTTGCACATTGCCATTGGCAAAATGATTTCCCATGACATAAAAAGTGGGAATTTTCATGAATATTGTAAAATTTCGGGTTGTTTTATAGTTTATTTTCAGAGTCATCAGAGTAGCCGATTTACGTGACAAAATTCAAATCCAGGCCGTTTAAACAGGGAATAATTGGAAAACTAAGAAATTTCAAATCTTTCGCAAGGAATTCTAACAATCAGCCTTGCACAACATGGAGGGTGGTTAATTAATTAAAAGGCATTTTCGTGAGCCGTGAATTGCCAATATTTGTGTGAAATGGCAGATTTTTGTGTCGTGAAACCTGGTAAAACAGACTACAGACGTGATTTACAATTTTACATGCCTAGCAGTGTGAGCCGTGATTGCCGATAATTTTTGTCCAGGAAACGAGAATTTATTTGAGGTTGGTACTGGACGAGTATTGAGAACTGCGAACGTGAAGAAGAGCAATGCTCTGCATGTAGACATTTTACTACATTGGTTAGTTTTGAAAAAGTCTTTGAATGTTGAACTTTCAGTGGCCAAATTAGTTCGATACTGGCGGAGGAATAAGCTAACAGGTTGAACAGGTTAAGAAATTAGGCATCCTCACGAGATAGAAAATACAATTTACACGGTTAAAACAGGTTTTTTCATTTTCGTGAAATGGTTATTTTTTGCATGTGAAACCGGTGAAATGGCTGTTTTTCTTCAACGTGAAACGTGATCCGAACCCTAGCAACAATTACGCGGGCAGCAATAATTACGCCTGACAATTACGCTAAACCCTAAAGCCATTAGAAGGCACTAGGCCGGGACATCCGGCAAGAAGAAACCTTTGATATCAATCACGTGTTTTTCCAGAAACATGGATGTCAATAGTCGATACTTTTATACTTCCTGAGTAAAATCATGCAATGAGACAAAAACCATGCTCATATAAAACTATAATAAACCATCAACCATGTTTATCCCTGATCAGTCACGATCACGTTGTGGACTCGAGCTAGAGGCTATGACGTGTCAACAAACACCGACGCGACCAGCCCACGCAGAAAACGTTGTGTGTGACTCCGAACGGAAACCGCAAACTGAAAATTAAAGCCACTTTCATATTATTCTGACATTCTGAGTACATTACCATGGATCATAAAGGCACTTTTCAACTAAACAGTTCTATACAGATATATCAGTAAAGATATTTTGTCATTTGTTAAGTTGAAAGACTTGAAAATGCGGGCAAAGTATATCAGCAGTGACCTTGGTTGTCTTCTCCAAGACGTCACTGTCATAATTAGTTCTGCTCTAGTGCCCCCTCTAGTGCTGTCAAAAGCTAAAACAAAGGCATGCGCAACTACACACGTTTCGTCTGTTTATTCCCTGATCGGAGTTCGCGTGATCGACTTTTCATCTTCATATTTGGCAGAAATGGACTATTGGATCCAAGAATTGAAATCGTTATGTTCAAATTAGTCTATACGCGAACTACGGCGTTTTTAAAATATTGTTTCTCCTATTCTTTCACTGAAAAGGAAATTCCAGTCAAATGTATAGAAATTGCCGTTGGTTTAGCTATTTGCATACATGAAGTATAAAACTTATTTTTCAGTCCAGCGGTTTGTTTATGACAAGCTTCCATTGTCTCATACTCTCATGACTCACCATTTCTGATCCTTTTGTAGTTTGTCACCAAGTACAGCTTTCAACTACTGTCGGTCACTAATGGTGAATTAAAACATGGTTGTAAGTCATTTTAAATCTATCTATTTTTCTAAATCTCCATAGATTTTCCTGCTTGCAATGCACCCAGCAGTCAGCACCCTTTATAGTTTGGGATACTGAATTTCAAGAATATTAATTACCAATTACTAGATATGCTAGTTTCCATTTGGATACGACTGGAAATATCAAATCGAGCCTGTGTTATTTTGGGCTATGCTTAGCCCCCATACATATTTAAATGAAATGGGCTCTGGCCACAGTGTGGCATGGTCAACCTGGCAGCCTATAAAAAGCTCTAATTGCCAACGATTATGCAACTTGTATCCAATTCTTCCCTCTCAATGAAAAACTTCAACTTCCTAAAAACAGGAGGTGCACTTGGGCACAGTCTGCATATCAATGTGATAATTATTAAATTCTGTGTTTATTTTAAACAATATTCAATGTAGAAAATTGCCCTGCAGTTGAAGTGTAATTTAGAGAATGTCACAGATCTTCAAGCTGAAGGGGAAGATTTCAGGTGGTATTTGAAGGTAAGCTTCACACATCTCCCTATGAACTCAATCTTCATTCCACTACGTTTTAGTTAAAATCCTCTAGCTAACATTAGAACACTGTAATTGCATCAATAAAGTATTGTTCCTATTCCTAATGGAATGTATAGCCATTGAGGATCCCTCTGTAAACCACATACTACTTGTGAAGTTGGTGTCCTCATTAAAAATTATGTTCATTGTGGAGTGCACCTTCTACAATCTCCAGTACTTGCCAAAGAATGTCAGATTAAGCTGCAATTAATATAGAGCTGCTCCCGATTAATCGATTATTTTTCCACAATTGATTATACTTAACAGTAATCGGATAATCTATAACACCACACAGCATGATGCAGGAATGAATTAATTTCTTTCCAGATTAAAAAAATTGCGACAAGATTGTGATTGAAACATGAAATGACAAGTTGATTCAAAACATTGTGGGTCAAATATCAAATTCACTCCCAGCGTGCAAAGTTTACCATAGTCTGATCGAGTTACCAGTGCTGCGAAAATACATTCTTTAAAGTTTTATTAGAATAATTTATAACCATTTGCGTTCAACATTGCGGTGTGCAGACATAAACCAATTTATTATAGTCTCGCAAATTTGCTTAGGAGTGTCAGCAAATTTGCTTAGGAGTGTCAGCAAATTTGCTTAGGAGTGTCAAAGGTAAACAACCAAAGTAAACATCCTTAATATCCTTTCTGTCCTTTCACGCATGTCTCTTATGTGAAGTGTAAGAGCGCGAGAACATGCGCAATCTTTATTGTGATTAACGTTCATTTTAAACACAGATTTAAAATGTTTATACTGACTGGTGAAACCCAAAAAAATTTAGTAAAGTTTGATTACAATTTAGAAACCTGTCAAACTACCTTGGGTTTTTCATATTTAAATTAATTATCAATACGATTAATCGATATTAATCGATTGTTGACAACGATTAATCGATTACGAAAATTAACCTATGAGAGCAGCTCTAAATTAATACTCACAGAAATCCCATTATTCATACTTCTATAACCTTTGAAACAAGCAAATGCTATTATATAATTGCAATGAATCATATATACAGGGCTGTACGAAGTGGGGGGTGAGCAGGGGGCAACTGCCCACATAGAGAAAACTATATTTACGATTTTTAAAATGTCATATTATTCTTTGGATATTTGGGACTTTTTTGGCATATATAGGCCTTACTGCCCCCCTGGTGAAAAAATCTTGTGTACGGCCCTGCATATATACAGTGCTGCCTAGAAATAAGTTGACAAAAATCACGGTTAACCTGGGTCGACCACAGTTTAACCGCGGATCATCCTAAGTTTGACCTCGGGCCGACCTCACAGTTTACACACAATTGAACCTTGGATCACCCACGGTTGTGCGCGGCCGAAGTGAGGCTTGACCGCAATTCACGGCGCAACCCAAAGGCAGCACGACTTTGCCAAGTGCAAATACGGTACTGTATTTTAAAAATCAGAATCAACAAGATTTTTGTGATTTTAAATGTATTCAGATGGTTGGGAAGCAATACAATGGGAAAGCTATCTTTGTATTCTCGAAGACTTATTGTGTCTATATATCATGCATGCATTTATAATAACAATATAATTATAGAAGAAAGCAACTATGAATAATATATTGAAAAAACTCTTACCATTGAGTTTGAGTATTGTAGCCTGCATGTCAGCCTGATATTCCTGTCCGTCGTAGTCTATCATAACTGCAACCCCTTCTATCAGTGCATTGCCACCGATACTGTCTTTTAATAAACTTCGTCCCTTGAATGCACATACGTGCTTTTATCTACTTCAAAGTGCACCTACATTCGTGTGGCTGCATGTACTGACATGTGTCTTATCTCGCGAACTCATTTTAAAATAAATCTTCGTAAACCGCCTCCTTTACTCTTTAGCTAGATTTCTGGGTTTGCGTTGTAAACAATGAGTATGTTCAGTCGAGACATGCTGTATTTTATATTTAAATATCTACTGCAACTGTTGCTGGGTGCCCAAAGATTGTATACCAAAATAGTGTCCGAAACGTTTTAAGTGCTAATTACATTCCACATGATCCTAAAGAGTATCAAGCGTTACTAATTAGTTACTAATGACCTTTCTACACAATAGAATACAAAAACTCGCTTGGCACTAGTATATAATTATTCAAAAACTCAATAACAAAGTATACTGTAATCAGTGACAGTGTCAAGTTTCAGTTTAAATCTTTTTTGTTTATACCCAATGCAAAAAGTGTTGCCTACAATGGCCAAGTGAAATACATGTATGTTGATCATTCTTTGGGTTTGGTAGGATAGGATTATTATACGTATACACCTGTCACGGAGCCGGAGGTATAAGGACAAGTCAAAATATACCGTATTGTCATGTCTGTACAGTGTGTCAGTGTACATCCTTGAGCTTGCTGTCGGTTATGAATCCAATCTGCAAGTTAACGCCAATTGTAAGCGTCAAAAGTACCTGGATCTAATTAAAGAGCAGGAAGCAGATTATGATAAAGTCAAGTTCGTCAATTTATCCTTGAGTACAATTGGAGTTTTCAGGCGATCATCTGAAAATTTCGATGGCATGCTAAGACTAGAAAATACATGCATGCAGCAACCCCTTGCCTTTCGTAACAGATGAAGTATAAAAACTCCACATAAAGTATTAAGACCATTATAAACAAACATAAAAACACAACTGATGCGCTAGCTTTATAATGAACGATAACGTTCACTGCAATTTCACGCATACCAGCTTGCATTAAAGTGAATTATCGAGTTAAGAACGGCTTAAAAATTTCGCGGATATGAATAAAACCAACAACACAAAGCAAGTACGGCATGGAATTTTACTACTGAAATGTTTACACTTACCCAAACCGGCGCAACAACGATTAAATTATCAAAGACATCAACATCAAAACATCAAAACAATTATTATTATAATACAAACTTTGTTTAACGGTTGAACAGACACTAATTCATGAAACTGCAGGCTTATTTCCAGTTAAAATCGAGAAAAAAACCGTTTGTAAACTTTTTAACGAAATTTAAAACAAAAAATTGCTGTAAAACGGCAAAATACGTTCAAAATACGTCCTTTCAAAATGAAAAACAATTAAGGCTGAAGTTTCATATAAGAGTCCCCAAATGACGTTCTCGTTGTTCTTGTTGTTCCTACCGTTCTTCCTGTTCTTGCCGTCCCTAGCATTCTTTCTGTTCTTGTTGTTCCTACCGTTCTTCCTGTTTTTGCCGTCCCTAGCGCTCTTCCTGTTCTTGCCGTCCCTACTGTTCTCGCTATTCTTGTTGTTCTTAGCGTTCTCGCTGTTCTTGTTCTTCCTACCGTTCTCCCTGTTCTTGTTGTTCCTACCGTTCTTCATGTTCTTGTTGTTCCTGTTCGTCCTGTTCTTGTTGTTCCTACCGTTCTTCATGTTCCTGTTCTTCCTGTTCTTGTTGTTCCTACCGTTCCAACAATTACTTTAATATACAGAGCTTGTACTTGCGCATGCGCATAACGTGGAAAACCGTACATGACCACTGTCCATGACATACACGAAATGGAGGACAACAATGCACTCACTGTTTGCACTCCGCTATGTTTTCACATACCCGGGTATAATTGACCATTTGCGTAATAGACTAAATTTTGAACTAAACAAGTCTAGAAAAAAATTTCATCACAGCTTGAAAGAGCATCACAAAAGTAGTAATATTCCAAAGTTTCGTTGCAAAATGTTGTAAAATGCGGAAAATATAGCCTTGCGAAATTTGCAATTTTCAGTCATTTTAGATTACAAACGGGAAATTGACAGCCTCGTACCCTTCGAGGCTGTCAATTTCCCGTTTGTAATCTAAAATGACTGAAAATTGCAAATTTCGCAAGGCTATATTTTCCGTATTTTACAACATTTCGCAACGAAACTTTGGAATATTACTAATTTTGTGATGCTCTTTCAAGCTGTAATGAAATTTTTGTTGAGATCAAAATTTAGTCTATTACGCAAATGGTCAATTAGCCGTGCGGAATCACAGGGGGTCCAACTAACAGCTGTGTTATGAATAAAACATATTAATTAAACGTAATATGAATATAACATCATAACGTAATATTGCACTTACTTGTATAAATCATAAGAGCTTGCATTTTAATACAGTGAATAGCTTCAAAAACTTGCTTCGTTCCAAAGACTTCAAATATAAATTAGTGGAACTATTCCTAATGGCCTAAAAATAGCTCTAGTTACCCCAATTTACAAAGCAAATAAAAAAAATGAATTCAAAAATTATCGACCAATTTCTGTACTCTCTTGTTTTTCTAAATTACTAGAAAAACTAATGTATAAGAGATTAATTAAGTTCATTGAAAAAAATAAATTATTAACACATAGTCAGTATGGTTTTAGAGAAAATAGATCCACCGAGCATGCAGTCATTGAACTTGTTGACAAAGTTAGTAAAGCAATCGATAAAGGTGAATACACTATAGGAATCTTTCTTGACTTGTCAAAGGCCTTTGACACTATTAATCACAAGATTCTGATTCAAAAACTGGAACACTATGGTATACGGGGAATAACACAACTATGGTTTAAAGATTATTTGGAAAATAGAAAACAAATAGTGAAATATGATCAAGTTAGGTCAAATGAAATGGTGATTAGAAGTGGGGTTCCACAGGGATCAATTCTTGGACCAATTCTATTTTTGCTTTACATAAATGATATTGAACAGTGCAGCAAATTACTTTCATTCATATTATTTGCTGACGACACTAATATATTTTATAGCAACAGCTGTCTTAAATCGCTTAATGTAATCGTACAAACTGAAATTAACAAAGTTACAGAATGGTTAAACGTCAATAAATTATCTCTAAATATCCAAAAGACAAAATTCATTTTATTTAGATCTACTAACAAAAAACCAAAACATGAAATTCAAATTATTATGAATGATGTAAATGTAGAACAAGTTAAAAGTACAACATTTCTTGGTATCATCATTGATGAATGTCTGACATGGAATGATCATATAACTAATGTTTCAAAAAAACTCTTGAAAGCATCCGGAATAATAGCTAAAATTAGACATTTCTTAAATCGAAATGCTATCAAACTAATTTATTATGCATTAGTCTATCCATATCTGATTTATGGCAATTTAATTTGGGGTAGCACATACAAAACCCGAATTAATAAAATAATGAATATCCAGAAAAAAATTGTACGTCTAATGACATTTAAGTCGTACTTGGAACACACTGAGGCTATATTCAAAGAATTACATATACTTGATATTTTTAAAATCAACAATTATTTAACTGCTTTATTTATGTATCGATATCATCATCTTAAAAATTTACCAGAATATTTTACTAACTACTTCGTTACAAACAACCAAATTCATCAACATAATACGAGAAACGCATCAAAACTTTTTAAATGTTATAAGAGAACAAATTATGTAAAACACACTCTTTCAAATAAAGGAGTTGATGTGTGGAACAAATTAGAAACAAATCTGAAAAACATAAATTTTTATAATACCTTCAAGAAACTAATTAAGCAACACTTTATACTAAATCCAGTTACAAATACATAGATTCAGAAATCATACTTTCTTTATGCAGACAATGTCTGTCCATACATTGTCATTGTGCAAAAAAATACCATATAATAATCTAACTAGTATATCTCTTTATCTTAATATTGTAAACACTACAGTATTTACCCTTCATACCTCAAATTTGTAAATATCTTGTATATACCTTGTAAAACTTTTCTTCTGCATTTAATATTATCTTAAAAATTACTGTAAATAATGAAATAATCTAAATAGGACATGACTAGTGGCCTAGAAACAAAAGCCTGCAAAGGTTTCTAGTAGGTCTCTAGCCCAAATAGTTCATTTGTAATAATGTATTAATAATTGTAATGTACATGGGAAAATAAATTTAAAAAAAAAAAAAAAAAACTTCTTCAAAGACATATCCAACGACATTCACGAAAAGTTCGACACCAGCAACCTCGACAAAGGACACTCGTCCGGAATTCCGACGGGTGTAAACAAGAAGATCATCGGCATGATGAAACTGGAAACGGGTGCAAAGCAAATCGAAGAGTTCGTGGGACTAAGCTCAAAGCTATGCGCCTACAAAATGGCGGAAGACGGGCATGAGGAGAAATAATGTAAGGGTGTTAAGAAAACAGTCATCAAGAAGGAGATAACATTCAACAACTACAAGGAATGCCACTTCAGCGGCAAAAGACAATTGAGGGGAATGAATGTCTTTAGAAGCAGACTACTGTAATAATATATGCTAAAATATGTAATTTATTATGCCATGTAAATTGTATATAAGGCGGCCATTTTATGTGAGTTCGTACTTGTAATAAAGATACTGGCCTAAGCGTGTCGTTGTTCTGTCCTGAGGTTTAAACAGAAGAAACCAAAGAAATAATACCTGGTGTCAGGAGTGGGATAGGAGATCTGAATATGGATTTATCTGGAATCCAAACGCCAAAATTTGACTGGGACTCAACAAACTTGCCAGAGCAATGGCGAAAATTCAAAAGTCATGTTGAGCTGATATTTGACGGGCCTCTTAAAGAGAAATCCGAAGAAGTAAAGGTTAACTACCGGTTGCTTTGGATAGGCGATAAAGACCGAGAAATTCGTGAAACACGGACAGATTTAGACGACAGTGGTTCAGAACAAGCGACGGCCTGGAAGAAACTTCAAACATATTACGACCGACATCAGGCACATGTTCAGCCGTGGTTCAAACCAATTTTCGCTCGATATAAATTCAATATGGAGACTCAGGCAGCGGGAACAATCGAACAGTTTATAACTAAACTACGAACTTTAGTGAAGGACTGCGAGTATAGAAATCCTGACGAAATGATACGTGACCGTATAGTGTTCGGGACATCGTCTGAAAGAGTCGGAGAAAAAGTTATCAATGAAGGGGACAAACTCACCCTCGACTAAGCGATCCAGATAGCCCAAACGCACGAGTATTCACAGCAAAAATTGAAGACCATGTCTCAGCAGGAGGTACATGGAATAAACAGAAGAAACTTTAATCGACAAGGACAATCATATCGCAATCAACAAATAATTGGTTTTGAGAATAAAGATGATGTAAGAAAGAATCAAGACGAAATAAGGAGATTGGATTGGAAAAGATGGGATCAAGGCAGTCAAGAATGCTCAAAATGTGGCAGAAACACTCCAAGACAGATAAGTGCCCTGCACAAGGGAAACAGTGTAATAAATGCAATAAATTTAATCATTTTGCAAATAAATGCCTTTCTAAAAGGGTTAATAATGTGCATGATGTAGGGTGTCACAACGAAAATGAACTACAATTAGATGAAGAGTTTGTTATAGATTGTATACAGTGTGATACAAATAGCCCCTCTGATAATCAAGCCTTTTGCACATTCTTAGTAGGCTCTAAGCAGAAATCAGTTAAGTTTAAATTAGATACAGGATCACAGGTTAATATTTTACCCAAATAGATTTATAAATCCCTGGGTGGGTGTGTAGAATCCCTTGACTGCCCCAATGAAACATTGTCAGCATATAACAATAATAGGTTCGAATCGCTAGGGTGTTGCCACTTTAAAAAGTGTGTGCACCAAAAATGTAAGTATACAAATGAGAGTACACTTGCATTTCGTGTAGTAAACACCCGGTCTCCTCCTATATTAGACATAAGACCTTGCATCGACATGGGATTGGTTTAGCTTATATACACATGCACTAAGACAAATGTCCAACACAAACCATTAACAAGAGAGTTAATCTTAGAACAATATAAAGATGTTTTCGACGGTATAGGATTATTCGAAGGGAAGTTTAGCATTCAAACTGACCCTATTGTGCCCACAGTTGCACATCCTCTCCGCAGAGTCCCAGTAGTCTTAAAGGCTAGATTGAAGGAAGGGCTAGAAAGGATGGAATCCCTTGCAATTAATAATTAAAAAGGTTACAGAACCTACTGCATGGGTTAGCTCAATGATTATAATACAGAAACCAGATTCAGATAAATTGAGAGTTTGTCTAGATCCAAGAGACCTAAATGTTGCAATTCTTAGGCCTCATTACCCCTCCAGAACACTGGAAGAAATCTTACCTGAGTTAATAAATGCAAAGTTTTTTACAAAGTTGGATGCTAAGTCAGGCTATTGGACTTGTGAGCTTACTTAACGGTCTTCCTTACTTACTACATTTAACACCCCTTTTGGTAGGTATAGGTATTTAAGGTTGCCTTTTGGGTTAAAATCACTCAACATGAGTTTCAAAAGAAACTTGATCAGAGTCTTGAAGGTCCAAAAGGGATGGTTTCTGTAGGATCTAACCCGAAAAGTAGGGCCTAATCGCCTGCGAGCAGGCAGGACATCAAGTGATAAAAACACATGTGGGTTTTATATTTTTTGATTGTTTGTTCGGATTACGAAGGGCAAAAGTCAGGTACATTTGCATGTTTTTGGTCCTGTTTTCTATGAATTTGTAAAGTAATTTGTTTCTTGTAGCGTAGTTTATAATGTATTTGTATTGTTTCTATAGAAACAATACAAATACATTATAAACTACGTTTTGTACGAAAATATA